TTGGATGACTCACATTTGACACTGCATTAAGAAGCAAAAAAAGGCAGTAAATTATTCGTCAGTACAATACTGCACTGTGGTGGAGCATCCATACAATACTTGTGCATTTAGCTTCCAAATAGCATTGATAATACTGCAGCCACAAGGCTATTCTCAGAATACTGTATAATAAACCTAGCTCTTTCATTGAGACTGGGAGTCTAATTTACAACAACAACAAAATTACATCTGTATAGCGCCTTTCATGGCGGGAGTTTGCGTAGTCGAGCCTCGATGTAATGAAAGCATGTATGAGGGTTTCAGCGGCCTCGGTATGAGACGGTGGTGGAGCCGGGGGATGTTGTGGAGGTGGGGGAAGGCAGAGCGGGTCATGGCGCAGATGTGGGGTAGAAAGGATAGTTGAGGGTCAAACAAGACCCCGAGGTTCTGGACCGGCTTAGCAAGGTGGAATGTTCAACCATGGATGGTGATGCTGTCAGCCCCTGAGGTGAGGAGGCCCTAACGGGAGAGCCTCGGTCTTGTTGATGTTCAACTGAAGAAAGTTAGCTCTCATCCAGGACTTGATGTCTGACAGACATTCTGTCTGGACAGCAGTGGTCCTGGAGTCAAGGGTGGAGGCAGAGAGGTACAGTTGGGTGTCATCCACATACATGTGGAAGTTGACCAGTGGATGATGTCACCAAGAGGGAGCATATAGATGTTGAAGAGGAGGGGACCAAGGACAGAGCCCTGAGGAATGCCGCATGAGACAGTGCGGGGGCTCGAGGAGAAGCCATTTGAGGAGATGAAGTGCAGGTGGTGTGAGAGGTATGATCTGAACCAATCAAGGACAGCGCCGTGGAGGTTGAGGTGAGAGGAGAGGCGGTGGATGAGGATAGAGTGGTCAACGATTTATAGAAATAAACTGAAAATTGTTCAGTGTAAAAAGATAGAAAATGAAAATCCTTAAAATATAATTGAGTTTAAATATTTTGCTAATGTCACTTTCTGAGGGAAAGATTCTCTCGTTGTAAGATATGTTTGTCCTCTTATGCTTTCTTTGGCTCTGCTGTGCCACAGCCTCTCCAGTTCAAATATTGCTGTCCATCCATCCTCAAAGTCTAAGGGGTATTGCTAATAAAAAAACTTAATAAGAGGTGATTCTTCCTCCTCATGGGGAGAACATGAATTCTCTACACCTCCCAGTAATATTGTTGAGATCAGGAACTCAGGTTGCAGACTATGATGAGTATGAACTCTTACTTGATATTCCCTACACTACCATAAAGTCCAGGTAATTTGACATATAATTAAGTGCTATTCAAATGTAATTCAGGATATTGTTTCAGAGCAAAAGTATTTTAAAGGCAGAAAAATGTTTACAGAAGCTCTTTACACAGTAGCCAGTACTGTGTAATTCTCTGTAGTCTCTGCAGCGAGTCCAGCAAGTTAACAGTTAGCTCAGATTTTATTTGGTATAGACTTCTCTAATTCTGCCCTTGCAAATCAAACAAATGTCTTTCTCGTCTTTGCACATGAATGTTGTGATAAATGATTTCATTCTTTTTGCTGCCATCCAAATCTAAAAAAAAATGAATATTTTCTAAAAGCTACATGGAACAGTAGAAATTTGTGACATTTTTATCATTGATGTTCTGCTGTAGCATGTGCTGGCAAATAAATGATTTCAACATAGAGAGAATTTTATCTTCTGTCAGTAGATGTTGTGACAGAGTGTCAAGAGCATCCTCATTGCTGTTGAAAGTCTTTCATTTTACTTGTCATATTGAAAAAGAACTATGTTGGATTAGGTATTTTCAATTTGCCGCATGAACATGCAGATGAAACAATGTCTAATTATAAATAAGCTTGAAAACAAAAGCTAAACCTTGTATATTCATGTTAGCATGAATCAATGTGAAAAGCTATAGTTGTGATTGGTGTGAGGATCTACAAACATTTGTCATTAAATTACTGCTGACTATTGAGGGGCAGGATGTCATTTTCCTACTGAAAACAATGACATTCAAAGTTGCACTGTTGTATTTCAGTATGATTACAACTATCTGCACTTTCCTTCTGATATCTGTAGCACCAAGTAAACAAATAGGAACATAGATAGATCAACATCATCTAGTGTCAGGCATTCCAGAACTTATCTATTGTACCCAGGTGGTATGAATGAAGATGGATACAGACTGTGAATCAAGTGATGCAGAATTAAACCCATTAGGTTAATTAAATAAATTGGACCCAGTTCAGAAGCTTAAAGTTCAGATATATGTCCAGTGAAACAAGTAATGGTGTACAAACATGGCAACAAAATGTTCCCCTCTGCATGTATGCTGCCATTTTTAATATTGACCTGTTATCATGGCAGTTGATCGGCAAGCAGCTGACATCTGTGGTTAAAGCCACACAAGAAAAGTCAATTTAAACCACATTTTTATATTTTATTAATAAAAAGGGCCATCTGGCAACCTCTAGGGGATATGAGATTCCTGGCAGCCAATTGAAAAATTGCATCTGTTTCTCTGGCAGTCTCGTGGTGGACTTTCTCTAGCAGTAGTTGGAATTGTGGATATGTTGGTAATATAATTACGAACAATTATAGCTGTGATCAAAATAATTAATTGTCTAGTCGGGGCAGGGGAGATTGATAGATTGATTCACTAATCACTGTTTATAACTTAAATTGAAAAGGTAATCGGGGGAAAAATACCAACACAATGATTTTAGCAATGCACAACTATAACTGAAATTCTCAATAGTGCCTAATTTGGCTAATATCACCAAAGGCGAAACATGCAATTCTCATTGGAATTTTCCCCCAGTATTGTGCAACATAAGCTGTTAATCATTTTTAAAAAAAACCTTTTTTTTAGCTTCATTTATGCTTGAGTAATTCTCTGCATGATACAAAATTAACATTCATTAGCATTGGATGGAAACACTGCTGGAGAATCTGGGTCCATTTTAAAAGGGTTCATTTTAAAAGAGATAGTCTGCACAATTACTCAATTAATTTAGAATCTAAAATGATTGAGCAATTGTGCAGACTATCTCTAATTTAGTCTAATATCTAATTTAGATGATGTAGCATAGCAACAGGGAATTACACATAAACTCTGCTTCTCACTAGGTGTGAATGCCATCATCAAATTGGCATTCTTGTTATATATGCTGTTTGATTCACAATGTGGTCTGAATGATTATTCGGACACACCTAATACGGATTCCCATTTGCCTGTTGTGAAATGGGCCGTGTAAAGAACCTATTGTTGTGGGAACCTGTGGGTTACACCAGCTCTACCTCTCTGCCTCCACCCTTGACTCCAGGACCACTGCTGTCCTGACCGAGGCTCTCCTGATTGGCTCCCATCAGCTCCTCCACACATCAGGCACTGACAGCATCACCATCCATGGATGCACACTCCACCTTACTAAGCCAGTCCGGAACCTCAGCATCTTGTTTGACCCTCAACTATCTTTCTACTCCACATCTGTGCCATGACCCACTCTGCCTTCCCTCACCTCCACAACAACGCCCGGCTCCACCACTGCCTCACTCCGCAGGCCACCGAAACCCTCATGCTTTCATTACATCGAGGCTCGACTATGCAAACTCTTTGCTTGTCAGCCTCCCCAACTCCTCCCTCCATAGGCTGTAGATCACCCAGAACTCTGCAGCCCATGTCCTCTCCTGCACCAGGCTCCATGACCCTATCACCTCCATCCCCGCCTGACTCCACTGGCTTCCCATCACACAGAGGATACAGTTCAAGATCCTGAACCTCATCTTCAAAGTCCTCCATGGTCTTGCTCCCCCCACCTCTGCGACCTCCTAACTCCCCATCATCCTGCTCACTCCCTCCGCTCAGCGGTCTCCGGCCTGCTTCACGTCCCCCGCTTCTCTCGCCCCACTATTGGTGGGCAAGCCTTCTGCCACTCTGCCCCACCCACTGGAACTCCACCCTGCAGTCCCCCCATCTCACCGCCTACCTTGCCTCCTTCAAGACCCATCTCAAGACCCTCCTCTTCGACTGTGCTTTTGATTATCCTGATTCTCCCACCTGACCTCCACCCTCCCCCATCCCCCACCCTGCCCCCCAGCTCAGGTCCAAAACTCTGTCTGTCCAGAGCCTTGAGACGTCCTCCCGACATGAAAGGCGGTATACAAATGTCAGTTGCTTCCTGTTTCAGGATTAGCTTAGTCAATTGGTGACATTTAAAAGAGATTTAGACAAGCAAGTGCAAAGGAAAGGTATTAGAGAGCATGGGGAATTTGGATTGTGATCAATGATATCTTGAAGAAGCGAAGTCTGACACAAACAATGGGACTAATGGCATCTTACTGTGTCATGCATTTCTATGTTTTATTGTATGGGGAAGAGGGAATGGAACTAAATGGAGAGATCTTACAGAGAGCCATCAAAGACACAATGGGCTGATTAGCCTTCTTCTGTGCTATAAGTTTCTGTGGTGCATGATTAACCCAACCTGCAAATTTTCCTTGTGTGTTGTTAACTCAAGCTGTAAAGTAGACCTTGAGTGTCTTGCTCAGTTTACAAAATATCAGTTTTGGTTGCTACTGCCAGTTGGCAGTGACTGATGTACATCTTCTAAGTAATTCAGCAAAGTTAGAAACTAGCAAAACAAGATCCAGCATTGGTTGTAGGAGTCAAAATGCTGCATTATTTATAATGAAGTATTCAGTTTTTCTGATATTCTCATATGAACAACTATGTCTAATGAAGTCCTTCCAAAAGGTTGGCACAGTCCAAAAATGTCAGGAACAATCAAAATCCAACAAAACACAAAAGATGTGGAGAATTATTCATTTTACATCGTTTTAAAAAATTGCCAAATGAAATCAATTGCTCTACAATACATCTTGAAAACAACTTAATTGTGTTTAAAGTTAGCATTTTTCTAAATTACATTAAAAGACCTATTGAGCATATATGAACCTCTAGTTCTTATTAAATTCCTGTAATTTTATTATAGTTTGGATATATTACTCACCTCTGAATCCTCCTGTTAAAGTCACAGTGGCATTCGGTACACATTTGTGGACAAACTTTTCGATAATTTGACCCACAGCATGCGCTTCTGCCTTGTTTACAAAGCTACTGATGTCTTCACAGTACATCAAGCCTGAGTGAACAAAAGTATTGTTAATCATATTGGTGTGTATTTAAATTTGGAAAAGTAAATCTGAGTGAAACACAAAACACTCAACATTAGGTTTTACAGCATCCTATAAAATTTAACAGTTTAGAGCTTCAGTCTGGATCTTATGGATACCTTGCTGAACATGTATTTATGCTCTAGAATCTAATTCATGTTGTGATACATATTTAAAACTACCCCACTCCATCACTGTGAGGAGGGTCAGATTCAAATCTATTAAGTGTATTCAATATGTATTGAATAATAAGAAAAGAATCCATCCTAGACTTATTTGTGGGTAATATATATATTACAAATAATAATAAATATATAAACAAATATACGGTCAATTCACTTTACAGTCTATTCTGTGAACCGCTTTGAGATGTCGAGAAGACATGAAAAGCGCTATGTCAAATGCAAGGATTATTATTATTATTATATAATTGGTTAGCTTACATGGTTTAGGGCAAGGGGGACAACCGAAGGCACAGTCAAAGAGAAAGGTCGTGAGCTGGCCCTTGAGGGAGGAAAGGAGGCGAGGCAGAGGAGCTCCAGGATGGAGTTCCAGAGGAAGGTGTGGAAAGTCTGAATGACCGACCGCCGATGGTGGAGAGGGAAGGGCAGGGGACATGAAGTAGGCTAGTGCCTGCTGAAGGTAGGGTGTGGACAGGTTGGCAACATTTTAGTAGGTTGCAGAGGAGCAAGACCGTGGAGGGCTTTATAAGCGAGGATGAGAATCTTGAACTCGATCCTCTGGTGGATGCGGAGCCAATGGAGCCAGGAGAGATTTGGGGTGATCGGCTGACGAGCTTAGCACGAAAGAGGACACAAGTGGTAGAGTTCTGAATAATCTGCAGCTTGTGGAAGGAAGAATTTGGACGTCCGGCGAGGAAGGAGTTAGCACAGTCAATATATTGAAAGCATGGATGAGGGTCTCGACGGCAGGAGAGGAGAGTTGACCCAAGGCGGGCAAAAGACACCAAGGTTCAGTACTGGGCTCAGTGAGGTGGAGAATGCATCCATGAATGGCGATGTTGTCAGCGACTGAGGTGAGGTGAGGTATTCATCTTCATTCAAGTTTAACATAGACTATCCCGCCACCCTGCCATCCTCGTTCTTGAATGGCTTCTGTATTGCTGAATGGAGTGGGAGTATAGCTTTGGTTATTTTGTATCCTTGGGTGCTTCATATTCTATGTTGTTTCAGGATATCTGGGTTCTAGATAGCATTCTCAAGACTATGTCAATAATCCACGACTATTTGTGGGACATTGCTGTGTGCAATTGGCTGCCGCATTTCACCCACACAATTTACAATCAATTCATTTCACAGTATACTCTGAGAAGTGTTTTGATATTATGTTAATAGCAATATTGCTGCAACATTTAGAACCACAACCATTTCAGCTCTTAAAACTGCTCCCACAGATAGTGTTTTAGTAATGGCAGCAACTATCGGATTGTGAGTCCCTATGTGAAACATAGAAATAATATCGCCTCTCAGTGAGAAAGCTACAAAGTTCAGCTTGATCCAGATTGTGCTATAAATAATGAACAGCACAGAGCAGAACTTATGTGAACCATATCGTTTGACTAGGGCCCCTTAAAGGTTAAGTTCTTTGAAGGTTTAACATTGGCAACTTTTCTGTTCTTGGATCCTACACTTTGCTGTAATGATACCTCATCGGAACAGCCTGAAGAAATACTTTGATATTTTTCTTTTGATTTTGTTGTCAAGGGATATAATCGCAATGAAAATATTGCTATATATGCTGAAAAACAACACTGTTTTTCTATATTTTCAGCAGTTTTTTTTAATTGACCTTGTGAACAAACCTATCAAAATACCAGAAAGCCATGCTATCTTTGCAAAATATCAGGCACACTCAAATAACTATCCACGATCAAAAGTAAAACTTCAAAGGATTTACCCATAAGGACCCAGCAAAATCTGAATGATTCTCTTATCCTAAATAATGGAATGTGTTATACCGTTTGTAAGATAATTATTCTCTTTAAAATGTGCAGCGATAATAATTTAATCCGTTATCACTTTGTTAAAATTGTGTGCAAAACTACAAAATGTTTATTCAGAAAATAAAGATATAACCACGTATATCATTGAGAGATAACCGGTTACCAATGCCCTGCAGTAAAATGCTTCCCACAAATAAATGTTTTTCAGTTCATAACAGACCTTTTGCTTTGTACTGCAATCTGATTATATATCTTCGAGGAGTAGAGCCACGGGACAAAGCGGAGTAATATAAAAGGAATGATTTTACTCTAATATAACAATTAGAGTAAATTAGGCACAATTAGTATACAACCATCATTTTCAAACATTTTTATATCAACAGTTCGAAGCATTACCTGCCTTCTGCATTTTGGTAAATTTCAGGTCCTTGGCAGCCTGTACTTCTTCCAGTGTTCGGAAACCTAGCCTGTACCACCGGTCTGCTGTTTTCAGACCCACACCAAAGATACTCGTGAACAGCTAACAAAAAATAAATAGATAAGCTTACAGAATATAACGAAAAAGTAGCTAAGGTTGAGATTAATCAAAAATGGATACCCATTAAGCCGAGTGCTCTTTTGTCATTATTATTTTCTTAATTCACCTGTTGCTGTGTCAAGCACCATGACTGTACCATATTCTTTATTGTTATAATTTTTTTGTGCATAAACTCTGTTTCATGAATACAAATACAAAAATTGGCTTCCATGATTTTATTAAATTTATAAAAACGAAATATTTGATATTAATCTTTTCACTTCATGTGCAAAATAAATTCCAAGGTTTTTCTATAGTTGCATGTAAATGAATCTCATTGTCTTTGAGTAATACCATATCAACAAAAAGCACATAACCTTTATTGATAAAGTATTATCAAAGTCAATATGATTTGGGTGTACTGATTCCCTTATTTTGCTCGGGAACTCTTACATAATATTAATATACAGTGATGTGAACACCTAGAAAGAAAACAAGTGACTAGATGTTTCCCTAGATATCACAGACAAGAATAATCTATGGAGTTGTCACCTAGCATATGTGCTTACCTTTGTTGCTTTGTATCGCTCATCACAGAGCAAACTCTCAACGGTAGAGGATTTGCCATCTTCCAAGATTTCCTATGTAAAGTTGTGAAGTACATATTATGGTGCAGAAAGCTTTCAAACTTTGTTGGCAGTTAAGAATTCACAATCAACATTTAATAATACATCCCATCCTATTTCAAAACAGCTTTTATATGGGGAGAGAAATGTAGCATGTGACGTCATATATTGTACTCCCTCCTCCACATTTCTATTCAATCCCTAAGAAAAGGGTTATATACTGTATAATTATTGATGAAAGGTAGTTATAAAATGAATCATGTCGTCAGTAGGATATAATTTATTTCCATATCATTCTGATACCTAAATTAATCCTTACACCAATAACACAGGCCTGGGCGAGAACCTCAATCTTTTAGATATCCCTTCTTCATAAATGCAATATTTTAAAATACGGATTAAATTAATCAAACTAGCTTGTGTGAAATTCCTCTTGCTGCTCAGTCTAGTGAGAATGATAATGTGCACGTGTGGGAATTATGTCAATGATATGAGGAAGTTCTGAATTTATTTTATTACTATACAAAACTTTAGTAGTCTTACAGCTACATGACTGCCAGATCCAGTATTTAGATCTTTTCATTCAACTTGTGGTGAGTTGTATCAACTTTTTTAACCAGAAAGCTCCACAAAATCTTTCCACAACTAAGAAGTTATTATTGAAATCTCTGGAAATATCTTTTTATATCCAGTCTCACCTCAATTATAGCTCTTGGTTGGACTTCCATGTTGGGTAATCCCTCTAACATTGTCATACTGCTGATGGCATAAGGAAGGGATTTTAGCACCGATGTTGCTCTTGCAAAAACTACATAGGATCGTTCATTTTCATTGAACTCACAGTTTTCTGCCAATATCTCCAATGCATCCTGCAGGAAACATCGATAGCATTAGCAATGTTAGCTTACAAATGATAAAATGTTAATAAATATGTATAGAAGACTCTAACCAATATTCTAAACAGAGATGATTTTGAAGTGAGAAGACACTGATTTTAATGAGGCTTTTGAAACTATTATTAGTATTTCATCATCCGCAAAGATTTGTTGACTGAAGCCATGGTCTTAAGAATATAAAAGAAAATGACTTTCATAACCTAAGAACAGAAATACAGAAATAGACCTGTGTAATACCAATAGTGCTTCAATGTGATAAAAGTACATTATTAGGACAAGATTAATTTGTAAGACATGAATTCTGACTTGAAATCTCACAGCCACATCAATGCTACTATGACTGTTTTTTTTAAAAGTTCTCAATCAACTGAAGAACTTGTCTCCACTTTAGAAAATAATGTTTCACATACGGCACAAATAGTTAAGCAAGCTATTTAATGTAACCCCAAATAATTCTGTCAGATGAATCTGGCAAAAACGGTAACTCATTCACAATGCTTGATGTGCAGTGATGGATACAGGGGTTGAGATCCCATGCCAATGCTTACTATGATCACCAAGAGCGTCATCCTCAAGGGCAATGTTAATTACTGCCACCAAAAGCACATCTCTTTCTTACCATGAGACTTCTCTGCTATTATCTGCTCAGAGATATTGCAGATATCATCTCAGGGTACAGTATACTATGTGACACATCTATCCATGTTTAATAGGTGTGTCAAGATTATTGGCATCAATTAAGCACTTAATGCCAAAGTTAGTCATTTCCCCAATTGTTCCTTTTCAGTTGGTGTCTTTGATTATACATGTCAGAAGTTTATCAGCTAGTTCACATCCAGTAGTTACAAACTCTCAACTCAATTTGATGTAAAGCAAGACGAGGACCTAATTGTCAATTCTGTTACAGATTCCAAATCTTTACCTTTATACTTTGTTGAACAGACTCATTGAAAAAATGGGAGCAAAGGCACAAGGTTATTAACTGCTTCTTTAGTTCCTTGTATTTCTTTTGCATATTGGCATTATTTCTCATGTTCAGCATTCCTTTCTCCGTTGAATTGACTGTATATTTGTGAGCCAAACATGGCAGCCAATTGCACACAGCAGTGTCTCACAAACAGTCATAGATTGGAGTGACCAATTTATTTATTTTTTTATATCTTGAGGGATTATTATCAGGTGTGTGGAGTAAGGAAACTTGCCCAAGATTTCCAAACTTTCTTCTTATTATAAGAATAATAATTCTTGTCTACATTTCTTTCCATTTCTACAACAGATTTGAAGAGGAGTTTCCCCAAATATCCTGGCCAACAATCCTTCAGATAAAATTAGTCATTCACTTCATGACTGCTATACAAATGTAATTTTGTTGTTGTTGTTTGTGTAAATTGGCTGCCATGTTCACTTACAAAATATGCAGCCCCTACACTTTTCAGTAAAGCTGTTAAATGCAAGACATGAAAGGTGCTATATCCAATGCAAAGATTTTTTTTACATATAAATAAAAAAGTAAGTATACAGTATTATGAGGTTGAGGTCATTTGACATAAAAAATGAAAATGGGAATGAAGAAAACATATTTTATATAGGATATATTTAACAGATTTAATTTATGTGACTGTCATCTGTCCCAAATCAAGCATATTTACATGCACAATTGTTTTGTTGGTGTTTCATTTTATTTCAATTATTTATTAGTACTCTCAGTTACTGTCCTTCACTTTGAGGGTAGGATTAATAGAATAAAAAATTTGAATTCAATTATTGATTCATAACTGTGCAAACTATAGTACTGTAAAATGCTATTGTATCATCTGCATGGATATTTGGAACAACAGTTTGCAATTGTAGGTTTATCTGTTAATTTCAAGTTCCACAAAATGCACCTAGCTTTGAACTCACAGCTCTATTTTACCCTTCACCGCTCACAACCTCTCCCTAACCTCACAACCTATTTCATCCAAATAAAGTATTGGTCTTGCTGCAGTTTATCTTCATTGACTTTTTGTTATTAGTCTTTTGTCTCAGACAGTCCCTTCAGATTCAACGGCCAATTATTCTTTCCTCCCTATGTTTTTTTTCTTAAAGTCAAAATGTCATTAATCATTCCTAGAAAGGATCACAACAAGGTTGAAGAAAGGTTGAATGCAGAAATGCCTGATGAGTTGACAGTAACAAGACAGTAACTAAAATGTTGCAGTTAATATGTTTGTTAAATGTGCATGAAATTGTGAACACCTATACTAGGTATTTTGGGCTCAAGTCGAAAACCTATTAATAAAGCCTTATTCCAATAATCAAAATGAAAAGATCATACAATTCTCACATTAGGAGACTTATCAATTCTAATAGATCCATCACAGAAATAGATATTTTACTTTAAAAATTGAGGCTGTGATACAACATGGGTGCCTTTTAATTAAGATCATAAATAGAAGAAACCATGTTGTGAGCTCATCGTGACATTCCTGTGGGAAACACCATCCAGATTAAAATAGGTCCTGAAGTAAGCCGGCAAAAAGTGGAGAGAAAGATTATTTTAAACTCCATCTCATCAAAACGAAGCAACCCCAGGAGACTAAAGCTCCATACAAGAAGCTGAAGATAGAGAGCTTTGATACCTCTGACCCCCAAAAGAGGCCACTATAATATTCACAGTCTTAAGCAAATCAAAAACTCTTGCACACATTAACTTGTTCTCTCTTTCTGAGTAAAGTAAGTATAGGCATAGGTGCTACTAGGCCTAGAACAGCCAACGCAAGGTACAGAGGGAGAATACACTTTATACTCAAGCTACCTCTTGTTCTGTGACTCATCTGAGTTGACATTTATTGTAAAATAGACTGCATAGGTTTACATGGAACTCTGAATGTACAATGGCATTGTATCCCATAAGTCTGAATGAGGCATTTACAGTATTTATTTCATTGGGTGCAAATAAATAACCTTTGTGTCTCCATTTCTGTGTTTATGTCTGTTACAGAACTGTGATCAAATGCAGGCTCATTTACGAGAGTCACTATGTTACAAGCAATATGTAATGTTATGGCAGCCACATTTGGATCATTAGGCTTGCATTTGTAGGTTTATTGCTAACTCATTGATTCTAAGACACCAGAATAGCATCAACCTGAAATTGAAGGCGACCGCTGACTTCTGTTGCTGGGTGAAATATCACCGTGGCCTACATAAAGCAATTTTGTTTATTCACATTGTCAAGAGCAGCAATTTAAAATTTTAAGCTCAGAATGGAAATTTACATCTGTTGTCCCAAACAAATTTAAAGACATCAGGGTAACAATTCCATCTGTACACCAGCAACAACAACTTAGTAATAATAATAATAACTTGCACTTATATAGCGCCCTCCATTCAGGGTGGTGTCTCAGAGCGCTTAACAATGGCGGAGCCTGACTTACATCAGCAGGGTGTGTGATATAATGTATCAAGTAAAGTAAGGTGATACTTTTGATTTAACATAAGAAATTCTGTGGTTTAAAAAAGAACTGTTCTCACCACAAAGACCTTAATTAGATCTAATTAACTGCCTATGTATTCCCCAGGGTAACTTTATTCCATCAGTTACGTGCTTTTACTCTCAGGTGAGGCCAATGTTCCATTACGGTTGACAGAATCTATATCTGCCTGCTCCAAGCTCTTTTAGAAGACTAAAACTTGTCAGCTGCAAAAGATTTTATAATGGGGAATGTGTGCTTTTAACAGTAGAATCGTTTTTTTCAGTAATATTCACACTTTTTTTACTATTCAAGGCCAAGTTGCCAGGTGCAAATTCAACTACGATATCTCTGCCGCAGCAAGACAGTCTACCCTTTTAGGAAAGACACATCCCACAAGACCAGTGTAGCCACATGGATTTTCTGGTTGCTTTGAAACACAGAGGTTAAGTGATAAGAAACCTATAAATGTCTCAACTTTGTTTAATTAGACATTGGTGATTGTACAGAGTTTAGACCTTGAAAAAGTGAAATGAGGCACAAGTGCAATGAAATGCAAAGTGAGTATATCCTGCTTGAACCCTCGCTCTCCATACCTCTTGCTTCAGGTCTCTTCCTATCGCTCTGGAGGCAGCGTGAAGAGCAATGAGAAGGTTACTAAGTGCACTCACTACATGTTGATTTACTGGACAACATCCTTCAGAATGCTTGAAATATTCTGGCAGCCAATCTGAATGTGATAATCAAAGCGGTACCTATAGTAACAGCACTAACATTGCAGTCAAATAAAACTCACGGAAAGCTGATGTTTGCCACTCTTTGCAGTATCAATGCATTCGTTACACCCGCGGAGAATTACACAATTACACAACCGCATAATTTCTCACACAATACGCTTCACTACACGTAGGCACAGAATTTCGCGTAATATGGCTGAACTGCCTCATACATCCCGCTCCACCTCTCTTCCCTCTTCCGTCTCTTCCTCTTCCCTCTCTTCCCATTTCTCCCCACACTGACTCCAGAGACAGCGCAGCGAGCAAAGGGAAGAGAAGCCGTGCAGGAGGTACGATTCCTAAATACAAAAATGTGCTATGGAAATATAATGTGCTACAGCAATATAATACAAAATTCATAAAACCTGGGCCTCCATATCTTTCTAAAGAGGCTACAATAGTGTTATCCTGTAATTAAACTGCAAAAATTAAAGGGTAATTTTGCATAATTTTTTATTTTTTGCCTGCATAAATTGCATTTTGTTGTGCATAATTCCCTGGGTTTAATTAGTGATCTTATTTGTAACGCATGAAACTAGCTCTAAACAAGACACCGGTAACTCCAACATTACAAACACAGTCATGTGCTACTGCTCTTCTGCCCTCCAGTGGACTCCACCCATCTGCACATCTAATTGAGACTTTCCTAAAAATGGGGACTGTTGGCAAATGAGAAATGCATCTAATGCTCACTTAGAGTGCCCATCTGAACCAGGCTAACAGGACCTTAATTTAATGCTTC